ATGGGATGATTTCAAGCAAACACATTAAAAAAAAGCCGCAGTGCACTAAAGAAGCTGCCGGAATCCTTTCGTGCAATATCTCTGTTCACTGCATTAATGATCCTCTCCAGATTACCCATTTCCTAACAAACCATTAACACAGAGAGGAGGTGGGGTGGTGAAGAAGGCAAGAGGAGGGAGCGGGGTTGAGGATGGGGCCAGCCACCGCAGAGCTCAAGCTAACTGCAGGCAGGGCTCTGCATCCTCCCCTGCTTCCCTATGGAGGCAGGGGCTGGGGGGCGGGCCTCTCTGGAAAAGGCAAGGAGGGGGTTTACCGGCCCTTGGATCACAGGAGAACATGCAGGCTCTGAATCTGGCCAACAGCTTGGAAGCTTTCCTCACTCTGCTAGGGCGACTTGGATCCTGGGGCCAGTCTCCTAAAGGGAATCAACTCAGACTGAGAATCAACCCAGTGCTTTTCCATGCATGAAGTCAGCTTTTACAATTTGCTCGATATCATGTGGGTTTTGAGGAGTGGGGCTGGGATTTGAACCCAAGTCTCTAAATACGGGTTCCCCAGATGGCCCAGTGGGGAAGAATCCATCTGCAACACAGGCCGTGCAGGTTGGATCCCTGGGCTAAGCAGATCCCCTGGAGAAGGAAATGGCAACCCACTCTAGTATTCTTGCCTGGAAAATTGCATGGACGGAGGAGCCTGGCGGGCTACAGTTCATGAGTTCACAAAGGATCAGACATGACATAGCGACTAAAAAAGAACAGGCAATAACTCTCTAAATGTGCAAAGCTCCCCAGTTCATCAGAGCCTCCTGCCACCGCTGACTGTTGCTTTTGTTGCATCCCAGCCTTCTGAAAGATTGCTGGCGGCTTCCCCTGGTACCCACGCCAGACAAGGGTCAGATCAGTGGCGTGAGAGCCTCCCATCCCAAACGGACAGCTTCCTGCTTCCTGCTCTACTCCTTGCGCCAAGAGTCCCCCTCCCTCCCTCAGGACTCCCTAGCAGCATGTGGCCCCATGGAGGACTCTGTACAGACAGGGGTCCCCAGCCCAACAGCGCTGACCTCTGGAGCACTGCCCTCTGCCCTCCTGCCTCATTTCCGCTTCGGGTCTCACTGAGGCCATTCTTACAAGCCAGAGAACGCAGTGTCCCTCTTCCCACAGGAAAGCACAAGATCTATAGGATTTAATAAGATCATCCAAGCCTTGGCGCGATGGCAGATTTCTGGTGACACCACGTTCTTTGGGGAGGTGAATTTCCTTTCTCTTTAATCCACTGTTTCTAAGGCAGGTGACCCACTCTGTGTTATTACAAGCAGGTTATTATTACCATAAATCCTTCTGCTACTACTTCTTCCATTTACATTAAATATAGTCTCTGTTATGGTGCCTAAATTAGCTTTCATTGGAGGAAATTCCTGTATAATTTAAAGAGAATAGGGAACCCGAGTCAGGCTGGGGGAGGGGAGGGCAAAAAAGGGAATGAAGTGAGGGCTTCTCATCCCAAATAAGGAAAAGGCTCCCTCCCCCCTGACTCAAAGCCTCATGGAATGTGGGCATCACTTAGTCCTTTCATCCATCCGTTTGTGTATTTGGCACATGTTGGCGGCACATCTGAAGTGCCAGGCCACAGGGATCAGAACAATGGCAGTGCTGTATGATTTCAACTATGTGACATTCTGGAAGAAGCAAAACAATGGAGACAGTAAAAAGATCTCTGATTGCCAGGGGTGTGGGGGAGAGAGAGAGAGAGAAGGATGAATATGTGAAGCGTAGAGGATTTCTAGGGCAGTGAAGCTGTTCTGTGTTATGCAGTCATGAGAGATGCATGTCATTATGCATTCATTGCAAAGAGTGAACCCTAGTGTAAACTATGGATGTCAGTCGATAATAACGTATCGATATTGGTTCATCACTTGAAACAAATGTACAACACTAACACAAAATAGAAATAATAAGGGAGACCGCGGGGGTGGACAGAACGGGTGTCTGGAAATGCTCTGTACTTTTCGATCAATTTTTCTGCAAACCTGAAACTGCGGTCCAGTGGTTACGATCCCGCGCTCCCACTGCAGGGGGCACAGGTTCTACTCCTGGTCTGGAAACTAAGATCCCAGAAGTCAGGCAGCCCCGCAGGCTCCTCTGTCCAGGGGATTTCCCAGGCAAGGATACTGGAGTGGGCTGCCGTCTCCTCCTCCAGGGGATCTTCCGGGCCCAGGGATCGAATCTGCATCTCCTGTGTCCCTGTGTTGGCAGGTAGAGTCTTCACCGCTGAGAGACCTGGGAAGCCCAAATATCCAAGAGGGTGATGTGATATTTTGGCTTTCCAAAACTGACTTGACGGCAGGTTCGCTGGGCTCTATGCACCCTCTGACCTCCTTATTGCCTTTACTCTTTGCAGAGCATTTCTGGAAACTAGAGTGCTGCCTGGGGTGGTTGTAGGAGGAGACAAACTTCATCTCTTCTGGCTTCAGTTTCCTCATCTGCATAAAAAGAGTTGGATTTAATCACATCAGGACTCTCTTTCTGCTCTAACCTTTTAAGCCCGAGACTGGGTGAGGTGTACCTCCCCCTCTTCCACCCTGCCATCCCTCCCCCATCCCAGTCACTCCACGGCCAATGAGGGGCGATTGGGAGAAAACTCCAAGCCAGATTAATCAAGGTATAGGAAAGTTATAGATATGCTAATGATTTATGTTAATGACTGATGAGAGTGGGTAATTGGAGATGGCAGGAGGGTGCCGAGTGGGGAAGGAATTTCGGTTCTTAGAGAAAATACTGCATTCAAAGAGCTTAAGAATGATTAATGGAGGTTCTGGAATTACAAAGAGCAACCAGTAGAAACTGTTTGGAACAGGACTTGCTCAGGGGAAATAACCCTGTGGAGAGCGTGGGTCCCGGTCAGGGATATTTTGTGGATGGGACCCAAGGAAGGGGCGGGGGCTTGAGAGCTGGTGAGGGGAGATGCTGTCCGGAACAGGAGTGGGCTTTGACCCGGAGGAAGGTGACTCAGGGTGTTCTGGCTCCGTGCCTGGACAGGGCTGGAGCCAGAGGGGCTGGTGTGTGCCCAGTCACTCAGTCATGTCTGACACTTTGAGACCCCATGGATTGAAGCCCGCCAGACTCTCCTGTCCATGGAATTTTCCAGGCAAGAATACTGGAGTGGGTTGCTGTTTCCATCTCTAGGAGACCTTCCTGACCTGAGGATTAAATCCGAGTCTCCTGCATCTCCTGCATTGGCTTTCGCCACCAAAGCTGGGGGGCTGGAGCTGATCCTAAAAGCTGGACCCATGTACACCTGTCCCTGCCCCCCCGAGTATGATGGTTGCCCCATGCCTGCAGCCTGCTGTAGTCTGTAAAGCCTGATTCAGCAGCTGGGGACCCAGCTGTCCTGGACGAGACCCAGAGAGGAGACACATCACCAACAGAGAGCTGCTGCTGGAAGGGCACCGTTTTCAGAGCCCTGACTCCCATGGGCAAGGACGCGGCTCAGGTTGAAAAGAAAATGGTGGCGAAGCCCTCTGTTTCCTTAAAGGAGGGAAGGCCGGGGTGTCCCATACAGCCCCCCTCTAACAGGAGGATCTGGGGAGAGCTGCATCCAGACGCATGTCTGGGACGGGCCTGCTTTCCGGTAGGAGACCAGAGCCCCGGTCACAGAGCCAAATGCTCAGATCTCTGGCCTTGCCTCTTCCTGCCGAGACCAACACGGCTGAGATGCCGGGCACGGCCACTTGGCATTTATAATCCTGTCAGCTGGCGGATGAAGGATGGGGAGCCACGTCCACCCAGGGAGGTCCTGCCTTGAACAGATGCTGCTGATGGAGGCTGCCTTCCTCGCCTCTCCATCTCCTTCAGTGCTGGCCCCAGGGCACCCATCACCTTCTCCACCCTCCTTGGTCAGGTCAATATCCTCGCCACAGACAGCCTGGCTGGTGAACAGGCACCACCTCCGACCTCCTGGGTCCCGGAGGGATGGATGCTGGACCGCGTACCTCCTGTCCTCCCCCCATGTCACCCCACCCTCACTTTCAGAGTGCAGCGGAAAGTCACGGGTTCCATGGGTCTCACAGAGCCTGGAGTTCTGATGCCAAGTGTGCATGGCAAAGGAAAGAGGTCGAGGCCGTGGGCGTGGCTGGATTCTCAGGGTACCCACGTCCGTTCCAGGGAGCTCATTCTGCCCTGTTCTGGACCCAGGGAAGCCGGTCCCTTATCCTTTTTGCTGGTGGACAGAGCTTTCCTTTAGAGAAACTCACATCCCTTAGGCTGGTTTCTTCCAATCCAAGAAGGCTTTAAGGTCACCTTGCCCACGGCTGCCCTGGTGGCTCCGTGGTGAAGAACCTGCCTGCCGATGCAGGAGACGAAGGTTCAATCCCTGGTCCAGGAAGATCCCACATGCTGTGGAGCAATTAAGCCCCCCGCCATGGCTATTGAGCCTGTGCCCTAGAGCCCGGGAACCGCCACTGTTGAGCCCATTTGCTGCAACTACAGAAGCCCATGCGCCCTGGAGACTGTGCCCCACAGCAAGGAGAAGCCCGAATTCCACAACTAGACAGTAGCCTCCGCTCTCTGAAACTAGAGAGAGCCCGCACAGCAATGAAGATGGAGCACAGCCCGAGACACATACATACTTAAATAAGAATTTGAAAAAAGGTCACCTTGTGCAGTTGTTTTGAGACTTCAAAAAATAATCTGTACGGACTTCCCTGGCAGCCCAGTGGTTAAGAGTCTGAGCTTCTGCTGCAGGGGGCGTGGGTTTGATCTCTGGTTGGAGAACGAAGATCCTGCATGTCATGGGGCGTGCCCCCAAAATAAATAATAAATAAAAACAAATTTTAAAAAAATCTGTAGAGTCTTCTACTCAAAAGAAACCCAACCCAGTAGCTGCAATACATCACATTAGAGCCTCCTGCTTGCTCATCCTTCCCTCTGCCTGCTCCTTCCCAGGCAGCCTGGAGGAGTTGTAATGAACTCCTGGGAGTCCTCAGAGGCCAGTTTAGAAACCAGCGATGCAGGAAGCGGGGAAAGGGGACTTACTGTTTCGCAGGTATAGAGGTTCCGTTTTGCAAGTTAAGAGTTCCGGAGATGGATGACGATGGTGGCGACGACAATGTGCGTATGCTTAATACTGCTGAACCGCATGCTTAAAAACGGTCAGGGTGGTAAATTTTACCCTGCGCGCATTTGGCCAAAGTCAAAACAGAAGCAAAACACCAGTTTAGGAATGCAGATGGGCAAACTCGGGCTGACATGGCCAGGTTACGAGCCGCTCAGTAGCCAGGCTGGCCTCCTCTCTTTGGATCGTGGCCTTATTTCTGGGCTCCTTTGACTTCACTTTGCTCGGTGCCAGGCTCCTTGGATGGGATGAAGCCCCAGAAGCAGCTCGTGTAACACCGGGAGAAGGAGAGGAGATCCAGGAGTGAGCAGGAGGGCATCGGGAGCCCGGAGAAGGGAGATGAGACCGAGGGGACGCCTGTCTTTGAAGTTCCCGTCTCAAGGGCTCAGGAAGCCTCACTCATTTTCGGTGGGTTGCTACATTTTCACCAGATGAGTTTTTTAATTGCTTGATTTACTTATCTCGCCTCGGATCTGCTGATGTACTCTGCTGCCTTTTAATTGCTTGAAAAGTTGAGCAGTTTTTCATGTTTTAAGGAGTGCTGAATTGTATAATTAAAACACTAACAGTGTAAATCAACAGTGCAGAAGAAAGACAGCAGAGAATTAAGCAAGTGTGTTGGCATAATAATAAAATCAAACCGGCATGAAGAGGGCCCATTACCAGGAAGATGCTGAATGTGAAGTGGGGGCCTGGGAGGGGGGCGGGGCTCACAGGACCCTGCCCCTTCTCTTTCTGGGGAAACAGGGGAAGTGAAAAAAAGAGGTGGCTGGATCTGAAAGTCCCTGAGGCCTTGGACTGAAGGTGGGAGGTGGCTTTGTGTGTACCTCCTGGGCGGCTGGGGGTTGGGGCTCTGGGATGGGGGAGGCCAAGAGTGAGTGGGGAAGAGGGAAGAGGGCGTGTGCGTGTCTTCAGGATCTCGCCTTCTTCCGGGGGTTTGCAGTTTGCTTTCGGTGAGGACGGTGGTCAGGAGGAGCTAGAAACCTTTCTTCCCTCCCTTGCTCCTTTCTCACCAAAGTTCACGCCCAGTGTGATTGTTTCAGACAACCCAGAAACATTTAGCAGGAAACAGGAAAGCCGACTCTTGCCTTCTCCTCTTCTTCCTCTGCCTGCAGACAGACGAAGTTGGAAGTGGGAGTGAAGGACGGAGATGCAGGCTCAGGCATCCATCCTGGCAGGACTTGTTTGGACCTGGCTTGGAAACTCTGCAGCTCAAAGTCGGTCAGCGTTTCCTGAAGGGTGGAAGGTGGAACACTGGCCCAGGGAGATGCTCCGTGAAAAAAATTTAAAAAAAAGCTTTTTGGCCAGTAAGCTTGGAAAACTCTGAGCTAAACAAAAGGTGCTGAGCTAAAGAGGGTGCTGAGCCCCTCATAGGCACTTGTCATTCTGACTACAGGACTTCCCCGAACCCTGAATATGCTGGTGTACCTGTCTCCTTGCACCCCAGCAGGGTAAACTTTGGGGATCTGGAAGACCATTCTTTCAAGTCTCATGGATTCATGGCCCATAGCAAGTGGGTTCTGGGTATGACACTTTGGGAAATGTTGAAAGCATTAGTTACTAAGTCATGTCCGACTCTGCAATCCCATGGATTACAGCCCTCCAGGCTCCTCTGTCAATGGAATTCTCCAGGCAAGAATACTGGAGTGGGCAACCATTCCCTTCTCTAGGGGATCTTCTCGATCCAGAGATTGAACCCTGGTCTCCTGGATTGCAGGCAGATTCTTTACCGTCTGAGCCTCCAGGGAAGCCCTTGAGAAAAGCTGGGTTCAGGTGAAAAGGGCACTTTGCTTGGGTCCTTGAGCTGTGGTCACATCCCAGACCCATCACTGACTGACCAGCTGTGTGGCCTAGGGTACCTCTCATAACCTCTCTGGGCCTCAGACTCCCCACTTGTCAGATGAGACAGATGATGCCGAGCTCTCAGGAGCTGGTAAGGAGAAGTCGGATGATGCTGTGGAAGCACATAGCCTGGGGTCAATGGTGGGCCTTTTCTCGTGGTGGTGCCCCTGGGGGGTGTGTCCACTCCCCATTCTTACACCACCAGATACGAAGGCTGTTCATGAGCCAGGTGGGTCCTGGGGAGACCCCAGGGGCTAGGAGTGGGGAGGAGAGATGGAATCAGGCTCTAGAAAATGAAATCAAAGACGGAAGACTAGGAAGACAGCTGGGCTGTGCTGGAATTGGCTGGAAATGAGATGAATGCAAGGCTGTGAGGAGGGCAGATATTCTGTGAAAATGCAGTTACTAGCAGGGCAGGGATTAGGGTGAGGTGGGTAAAGCATCACAAAATTTAAAGGTGTGCCCCAGACTCTGTAATCAAGAAAAATAATATTTTAGTGCAATTGTTTTTTTGGAAAGAGCTAAGTGAATGAAAAAAAATCACAATGAACAAAATACCAAAATTTAAATAAAGACAGAATCTGACCTTCATCTCATTGGCCTGCACCCGAATCCCAGCCCTGAGAGCTGAACCTTTTCTGTCTGTGCCAGCGTGTCCCCCGAGGGGCTGGATCTGGGGACCACTCTGAGCTGAGCAGGGTCAGGGCCCCCCCAGCCCCCGCCTTCAGGGACCCTCACACCTCAGCAAGTATTCCATGGACAGACGTGGCCTCGGGGGTCAGGCTGGGCCTTTCCTGCCGGGTCACTCCTGGCTACCCCCATGGTGGGCGCAGGCTGGGGGGATGAGCTTCCTTACAGCCACGGGCCTGGCCTTCCACGAGGTCACCAGGGAACGGGCACCTCTGTGCCCACTCCGGCTCTGCCTGGGCCCCAGGCTGGCCAGCTCATACCCTCCCTCCCTTCTTGGCGCCCGTTCTCGGCTCATCTCCAGGGAGCCCCTCATGGCTGCCCCTCAACTGGACGTGACCTCCCTCTCCTTTAGGCTCCCGGGGCGCTGAGCCCCTCTTGGGCACTTGTCAAGTGCTCATCCGCCTCCCCATTTCCAGCTTGAAATCCCCAAAGGCAGACGCCACATGGCCATCGCCCACCTCTCCAGCCCCCGTCCCGCGTGTCCTTGACACGAGTGGGCATTCAGACAGAACCACCCAGGAGGACGGACGCTCCTCCGTGCTGGACGAGCTCCTGCCCACATCACTGGGCAACCTTCTGGGGGTGACGGGATGCCCGGGACTGGAGATATCCAGGTAAAGAATCTGCCTGCAATGCAGGAGACCTGCGTTCAATCCCTGGGTTGGGAAGATCCCCTGGAGAAGGGAATGGCCACCCACTCCAGCATTCTGGCCTGGAGAATCCCATGGACTGTCTAGTCCATGGGGTCGCAAAGAGTCGGACTCAACTGGGTGACTTCCACTTTCACGCCCCTCATGCTGGGAGGGTTCTGATAGGCCTGGGAGCCCCTGGTGATTGCCATGGAGACGACGACCACAGACAGGTCTACTTTGTAGACATTGTCCTTTTTAGTCCCCCCAACAGCCTTGCACGTTGATGTCAATATTCCCATTTTACAGGTGAGTAAACTGAGGCTTGGGTTTTCCAGGTAGCTCAGTGGTAAAGAATCCACCTGCTAATGCAGGAGACACAGGAGTCCTGGGTTCCCCTGGAGGGGGAAATGGCAACCCACTCCAGTATTCTTGCCTGGAGCGCCCCAGGGACAGAGGAGCCTGGTGGGCTACAGTCCACAGGGTCTTGAGTGTCAGACATGACTGAGTATGCATGCATGCAACTGGGGCTCAGAGTAGGTACACTTAGGAAGTTTGCAAAGCTAGACAACAGCAGGGGCGGGATTGGACTCCAGGTTGGCCTGATTCCAAGCCCACATGCTTACCCTCTGAGCTCTTGTTGCCTCAGGATAAGTGGAGGTGGGGACCACCTCACACTTTGGTGGGCTCTTTTCCAAACTGGTAGACCTTGTGTGGGGCTTCCCTGATAGCTCAGCTGGTGAAGAATACACCTGCAATGCAATGGACCCTGGTTCAGTTCCTGGGTCGGGAAGATCCGCTGGAGAAGGGATAGGCTCCCCACTTCAATATTCTTGGTCTTCCCTGCTGGCTCAGATGGTAAAGAATCCTCCTGCAATGTGGAAGACCTGGGTTCGATCCTTGGGTTGGGAAGATCCCCTGGAGGAGGGCATGGCAACCCTCTCCAGTACTCTTGCCTGGAGAATCCCCATGGACAGAGGAGCCTGGCGGGCTACAGTCCTTGGGCTGCAAAGAGTCAGACACGACTGAGCGACTAAGCATCACAGACACACACACACACACACACACACACACACAAAGACCCCAGCGAGCAGTTTCGGAAGCTCTGAGGACTGCTCTTCCTGGCCACAGAGAAGGAGGAAAGGGGAGGACTTCACCCCAGGGTCCCTGTGTGTGTACTGATACTCCTCCCTGCCCTCTCGGGGACATGCTCGTCTCCCCGCCACCCCCACACACTGGGTGGGCTCTGAGAGTTGCTCTCATTAGTGAAACCACCCCAGGGCGCATCCCAGCCTCAGCTCACTTGTATTGATAAGTCTCAGCGGCTGCAGACTTGTCTGATATTTACAACTCTCCGTCCCTCACCTTTATGATGGATGGTTTGCGTGTTGGGATCAATATGGCCCTCGCGAGATTTACATACTCATATGATTAATAAACAATAAGTCACGCGGGTGGCCCCACCCTGCTGGGTTTTCAGGGCGTTCTGTGTGGACAGCTAACCTTGTCCCCTGTCTTGTACACTGGTCCTGATGGCTGCTATTGATCCGCTTGGTCGGACGGGGACACAGCAGAGTGCGGAGCACGTGGGGGCAGAGCCTGGAATTCACACCGTGCACTGTGCTACGGCTCTGCCTGCCAGCTAGTGGGCTGGCTCCTTACCCTTCGGGCTGGAGGAGGACCATTCCCCTGTGGGCATCCTCTGTAGACAGCAGTCACCAGGCTGGTGGTGACTTTCTTCCGGTTGTCTCTTTATGCACCTTGACCTGTCCATGACCAGTCCCCTCACCACCCGTGTCCTCAGGAGAAGTCCGGATCAGCCTCCTCACTGGCCTCTCAGTCATCCCCACCCCCTGACCCCTCCATCTGCTCTGAGACTTTGCTTCCTCTTTTCCTGGAATCATAGCTCTGCTCCAAAATCTCTCAGTCATTCTTTATTTTCCCCCCCTTTTTAAAAAAAATTTACTTGGCTAAGCCAGGTCTTAGTTGCTGCATGCAAGATCTTTCAGTTGTGGCAAGAGGGGTCCAGTTCCCTGACCAGGGATTGAACCCAGGGCCCCTGCTTTGGGAGCATGGAGTCTTAGCTGTTGGACCACCAGGGGGGGTCCCTCTCATTCTTTTGACATACCAAGTCCTCTGTGTGGCTCCCAGACCCTTTTCCAAGGGATAGATTTTGACCACCCCAGCCTCTGCCAATTCGTCCCTCCAAGAAGGTCATCTGGGTGACCCCCACTCCACACTGTTTTGCCCTGTGATTCTCTTGGACCCTTTGTGATGGGTTGTCCTATTTCCTTCCAGATGAATACCTGTTTTCTCTATGACATCATCCCTGTGGATATGTACCCGAACAGCAGTTATTTATTTTGCTCTCTGAATCCTCCATTCCTCTAGAAAAGATTTAAAGCAGACCAAAAAAAAAAAAATGCATAAAATATAAAAATGTTAGTTGCTCAGTCCTGTCTAACTCTTTGTGACCCTATGGAATGTAACCTGCCAGGCTTCTCTGTCCGTGGGATTCTTCAGGCAAGAAAAGTGGAGTGGGTAGCCATTTCCTTCTCCAGGTATAAAATATAAAAAGACCAATGTAAATTAAAAGTTTGGATGGAAAAAGAAAGGATGCAGAATGGTACAGAAGTAAGCTTACAGAGGCACGTCCTGGGGGAATATACGCTGAAGTGGGTTTGGTTCTAAGTTTTGCAATAACCAGAGCGAAAGGCAAATGCATGTTCACGGTGTCCAGAAGATGAAAAGCACTCACAGCTGTAACTGAACTGGAGGAAAAAACATCAAACAGATTCTGAGCCGAGAAAACACTGCAAATAGCCTTCAGCGTCACTCGAATCCAGTGAGTCCCCGAGGGGAAGGTGGCAATGTCTGGGGACATTAAGAGTGTCATAGCCGGGGGAGGGGGCCCTCCCAGGTGGTGCTAGTGGTAAAGAACCCGCCTGCCAATACAGGAGATGCAAGAGACTCGGGTTTGATCCCGGGAACAGAAAGGTCCTCTGGAGGAGGGCATGGCAACCCACCCCAGTATTCTTGCCTGGAGAATCCCATGGACAGAAGAGCCTGGTGAGCTACAGTCCATGGGGTTGCAAAGAGTCAGACATGACTGAAGTGACTTAGCAAGCAAGCTGGGGTGGGGAAGGGTTTGCTGCAGGTATGTAGATGGTAGGAGCTGGGGGGCTGCCTAGCCTCCTACAATCTGCAGGACAGTCCCCAAACCAGCTAGCAGCATGACCCGCAGTGTTAATGCTGCCCCATTGGGAAACACCGGTCCAACTGTTTCTCCGGCCTGGAGACACAGCACTGATTTAAAGTCATTTTGGTCCATGTGTAACTAAGCCCTCTTGGAAAATATTCAAAAACACCCTGGCCTGAGACTGAATCCCCTCCTCTGGGGAAATAATGCTTTCGGATTCCTCGAATCTGAGAATGGGAAAGCTAGATCATCGAGGCCAGTGCATCCATCGATCATCACGCTTATGCGGCCCCTGGCAGGGGTCCAGTCCTTGGCCAGAACATACAGAGAATTCAGAAGTAGCTCAGCTCACGTGCCCTGCCTGTAATGGGCTCCCACCCCACCAGCAGAGACCTCTCTCCAGGGTGGCCTGGATCTTCTGCACAATTACGAACCTGCTCTGGAGGAACCAGGAACTCAGGGCAGAGGCAGGCGACCAAGACTCTGACAGACTGGGGCAGTCTTTGCAGAGGGAGGACATTTCCTATACTTTCTCCTGGCCTCAAGACTTAGGCTCCTTCCTCTCCACCCAAGAAGGTCTTTCTCTCTCTTCTCTGCAGAGAGCCGGTGTTCTGGGGTGGACCCGTACCAGATGTGAGTCCCTTTCCTGCACTGCGGCACGGTGGCAAGCTCTTCTCCACGCATGGAGGAATGGGAAGGCCCTACGCAGAGGCTGGCACGAGTTTACCAGGTACCCCCCCCGCTTTCTTTCTTAAAACATGGCCCTGAGATCTTTGCTGCTTCTTGCATCAGAAGGTGCGGTGCCTGCTCCCTCGCCTTGTGTCTGGGCTCTGTGTCTGCTTGGCACAGAATGTGGCAGAACGATGCTCCACCGGTGTCTGGACTCCGGTCTTGAGAAATAGACAGCTCCAAGTGAAAACTACGATGAGGTACCACCTCACCCTGGTCAGAAGGGCCGCTGTCATAATGATAAGCATTTACAAACAATAACGGCTTCTACATTGTGGGTGGGAAATGTAAATTGGTACAGCCACCGTGGAAAACAGTATGGAGGTTCCTTGAAAGGCTAAAAACAGAACTACCATATGATCCAGCAATCCCACTTCTGCACATGTATCTGGAGAAAACCATAATTTGAAAAGGCACATGCACCCCAATATTCACTGCAGCACTGTTTACCGCAGACGAGACAGGGATGTGACCTAGATGTCCTTCAATAGAGAGATGGATAAATGCATTACCTGTATACAATGGCAGATTACTCAGCCACAAAATAGAGTGAAATACTGCTGTTTACAGCCACATGGGTGGACTTCGAGGTTATCACATTAAGTGAAGTAAGTCAGACAAAGACAAATATCATATGATATCACTTATATGTGGAGTCTAAAACAAATCATACAAGTGAACTTATTTACAAAGCAGAAACAGGCTCACAGTCTTCAAGAACAGACCTAGTTACCAAAGGGGGAAGGGGAGGAGGAATAAATTAGGAGTTTGGGATTGGCAGATCCACACTACTACATATAAAATAGATGATCCTCAAGGGCCTACTGTAGACTACAGAGAACTCTACTTGAGATTCTATAGTAACCTATATGGGAAAAGAATATGAAAAATAATGGGTATATGTGTGTGTATAACTGAATCGCCTTGTTGTACACCTGAAATGAACACAACATTGTAAATCGACTATGTCATGGTTGCTCAGTCGCTAAGTTGTGTCCAACTCTCTGTGACCCCGTGGACTGCAGCAGGCCAGGCTTCCTTGTCCTTCACCATCTCCGGAGTTTGCTCAAACTCGTGTCCATTGAGTCGGCGATGCTCTCTAACCATCTCATCCTCTGTCACCCCTTTCTCAAAAAGGATTAAAAAAAAAAAATGAAATGGGCAGCTCCAACTTCCCGCCTCTTGGGACCCTCCCTCTCACACTCCAGCCGCTGTGTTGTGGGAACAGACAGCCACATGGAGTGGCTGGTGAGATGTTCCGGCCCACAGTCTAGGTTGCAGCCCAGGATGCAGACAGTAGCTAATACTCTAAATGTGTGAGATTTCAGGCAATTCCAGCCCCTTGCTGCTGAGTCAGCCCCATCTTTGAGCCACACGGAGCAGAAATGAGCTGTCTTCCCAAGCCCCGCCCCAGCTGCCGAATGAATGATTGCTGTTGCTGCAAGCCTCTGTGTTTAGGGTGGCTCGTTACAAAGCAGTAGATAACGGAAACAGCGTCCTTCCTATTTCCTGCATCTAGCCATTCAACAAGCGTTTACTAGCACCTGTCATGAGTCAGCCACAACTCCAGATGCTACGGATAGAGCACGGAGGAAAATGAACAAGAATTCTCACCCTCGTGGGGCTTATGTTCCAATGAGGGAGACAGACAAGCAAGAAAAATAAAATCAAACGCACGGCATGGTGGTGGAGTGAAACAGAGAAGGCTTTGAAATCGGGCTGAGGGTACGGTTTTATACGTTCGGGTAGCGGGGGGAAGGCCTCGCTGAGCAGGTGGCATTGTTTAAAGCCTCGAAGGACATGGGGGAGCCGGCCTGGTGAAAGAGCTTTCCAGGCAGAGGACGTGCAAAGGCCCTGGGGAGGGGGAGGGAATATCCAGGGTGGGCGGTGGAGTAAGAAGCAGGATACGCGGTCCGGGTGGTAATGGGCTGGGTGGTGTAGGATGCTAACCCTCACGGGTGGCTTTAATTAATTAATAATTTATTATCGAATAATTTTAATCAGTTCATTAATCTTATTGACATATTTATTTTTAATTGAAAGGTGCTTGCTTTACAATATTGTGTTGGTGTCTGCCACACGTCGACGTGAATCAGTCATAAGTACACATGTGTCCCCTCCCTCATGAGACTCCCTCCCACCTCCCACCCCATCCCTCTCTTCTAGGCTGTCCCAGAGCCCCAGTCTGAGTTCCCTGAGGCATACAGCAAATTCTCTCATGGGAGGTTTGTTTTTTTTTAAATATGTACTTATTTTTTTGCCAGCACTGGGTCTTAGTTGCAGCCCTTTGGATTTTTAGTTGCAGCATGCAAACTCTTAGTTGCGGCGTGTGGGATCTAGTTCCCTGACCGGGGATTGAACCCAGAGCCCCCTGCACTGGGAGCGTAGAGTCTTGACCAACAGACCACCAAGGAAGTCCTTTATAGGCGGTTCTGAGCAGAGGAGTAACACATTTTAACAGGATCACCATAACTCTGGGAGTTCAAACATGGAGTTAGGGAGCCTACTTAGGAGGCCGCTGCAACAATTAAGGTGAATCAACTCATGCCTTTCGGGGGGCCTGGGGGTGGGTCGTTCCAAATTCTGCATTTTACATTATTTCTTAGAGTTTTCCTGGGAGATGAAGCCCAGTTGCCTTCTTCGGTAGCTGGTTAGTAACAATCCTTTGTGGCTGCCTTCCCTTCCCTGGATCACTTCTCCATTCCTCAGCTGGGGTCCCTGGTACTTTGCAAACCCTCTTGGGGCCTGCTGCTCGGGGGAACAGACCAGCTCTCAAGGAGCAGAATTTGGGGAGAAGGTGAGGTAAAGTGGTCCCCAGCCCAGGAAATGGCTGGAGGCAGGACTCCGCAGTGTACACAGGTGACCCCTGGAAGCTGAGACTCTAGAGCATGAACCTGACCCACCAGCAGAGGAGACCGGGGCCTTCCAAAGCGGCTCCAGGGCTTCCCAGGTGGCTCAGTGGTAAAGAATCCACCTGCTGATGAAGGAGACTCTGTTTGATCCCTGGGTTGGGAAGATCCCTGGAGGAGGGCATGGCAACCCATTCCAGTATTCTTGCCTGGAGAATCCCATGGACAGAGGAGCCTGGGGTTGTGAAGGAGTCGGACACAATTTAGCAACTAACTAACAACAAGCTGGTCTAGTTTTGGAGGACTGCTGAGCCACACCGAGGGGTGGCCTCTGAAGGGCGCTCCACAGCTCTGACCTCGGCAAGGTCTCTTTCATTCTTGGAAGGGGACAGGGTCCTGGGTGATGCTGGCCGTCCCGGCAGGGCACTCGGCCAGCAGCTGGTTCCGCCGGGAGGCGCAGAAAGCTTTCTGCTCACAAGGATGCTTTTCCCAGGCAGGCTGACACTTTGCTAACGGGTTGGCGGGTGTGAATGCAGGATTGCCTGGAGCTGAGAGCATCTGCTCCCTTTGGGGCAGCCTTCCCTGAGGCTGGCCGGACGGGGCCAGACAGCAATGGCCTCCAAGTGCTGGCTGGGTCCTGGGTCCTGGAGCCCAGGTCCGCTGATTTCCACCCAGAGCCTCTTCAGCTCTGAGCCTTTATTTTCCCCGCTTTGACCCCGGTCCCTCTCACCTTCCTGTGTCTGCTCGCTGCATCCTGAGGGCTGCAGCCTCTGCCTGGCTGGGCCTGGGGAGCCCAGAGCCTCTTGGGGACCGGCCTGCTTGAGGTTTCCCTCCCATCCCTGCCCTGTTTCCCCATTGAAGGCATATTTCAGAGGCAACAGCGGGATTTACTGTAAATGAGTGACTCCTGCTTGCAACCAGATTTATTCAACAACTGGCAATTCTGAGCGCCTGCTGTGTGCCAGGCGGGGAGATTCCACAGGGAACCTACCGTCGAGAGAGAAAGTAAGAGCATCTAGAATGAGCCCCAGAATAGGGGTGCCTCTCGTGGAAGTGGAATAACTCTTCCAAGGGCCTCCTCTGGGCTATGTGGCTGCTAACATCCAACTGTCCCACAACGCTGTGCATGTGTGCTAAGTCGTGTCTGACTCTTTGCGACCCTGTGGACTGTAGCCCGCCAGGCTCCTCTGTCCATGGGATCTTCCAGGCGAGAATACTGCAGCGGGTTGCCGTTTCCTTCTCGAGGGGATCTTCCCGACCCAGGAATTGAACCTGTGTCTCCTGCATCGGTAGCCACCTGGGAAGCTCAGTGATGCTCAAAGATGCTGAAAGATACTCAGTCTCTGGATCCACTCTCCATCTCCCTCCATCTGCTCTGAGCCCGGGAGGCAATCGCATCAGCTCACTTGACTCAGGCCACTGGACAGGTGTTGCAGAAGGCTGGGGCTGGGACGGGGAGAGAGCTGAGGGGTGGCCCCCGCCCCTCCCCATCACAGGTGGGTCCTCTCTCCAAGACTCCGCCCCTGTGTGCAGGTCCTCTCCCCCAGCGGGGTGACAGGCTGCACATACCTGCTGCGGCTCCAGGACCGTCCCTGCCCTTGGGGTTTCTGTAACCTTGCCCCCATCTGGGTAAAACGTCCCTTCCATCTTCAGGGACAGATGCTCTGTGCAGTCTCCATGGGCTGAGAAGTGACCCACCCTTGGTTGGATGTTCCACTGTCATCACCTTGAAATTCTTCATTCTTTTTGAACAAGGGGCTCTCGCTTTCCTTTCACGCCTTGTCCGCAAATGGACGCTTCTGGCCTCTCCATTACACTCTCCCAGTCAGCTGGGGAGCACCGGGTCCACTCTACATCAAGCAAACACAGTGGGAAGGAAGTTCAATAACTTGCCTGCGGCCACACGGCTACTAAGTGGCCGAGCTGGGATTTGAACCCAGGACCTCTGCCTCCGAAGCCCATGCTCTTTCCAGCTCCAGGAGCCCAGAAGACTCGCCTGCCGTGGAAATCTGCCATATTTTGCATATACACTGATTGTTCCTCCTTTGATGGGAAAGTCATGAGGCTTCCCGGGGTCTCTATCTCTCTGCTCATAATTTGGGCTGTTTTTCTGATTGTCGTGGCCCAGCCGGGTTCAAAGCCGCCCAGCTGAGCTGAATCTCTAATGCAGCTGCCCTGACCTCCCAGTGATGGACAGACCAGCTCCCCTGTGCTCTGAGCTGGGCTCACTCCCAGCCCCTGCCCACCCCCCACTGCTCCAAGCACAGAGACCCTCACTCCCGGGCTGTGGCCGGGAGCTCTGGCCCTGACATGACAGATGAGCAGTAGAAATTTGGAAGGGGCCGAATGCTCTCGCCGGCTGCCTCTAATTTTATTTCTAAGGGATGAAAGAGAAATGGGAGCACTGGTAGACAGGAGACATTTCCCCTGACTGAGACGAGCAGCGAGTCAGGATAAATGGAGGCTGCTTTCGGGTCCTCATCAGACCACCAAACTCCGTTTTCTTGGCAGGTGAATCCCTGCCTGGGGGGCCTGGGGCAAGTTGCAGAGGCGGGCCCCTTTGTTCTGCTGCTAATCAGATACCCCTCAGGCGCTGGCGTCTGCAAGGGGGAATTTCACGTTCTGTCTTTGGTCCCGGCCATTTCAGCCTGCCTCGGTGCCTTTGGAGCCCACCTGGACCATGGAGGTAAAGAGGAGGGACATTGAGTCTGGAGTCCGATGAGGCAAGTTTATTTGCTCATCCATTTCTTACAACTGTGATGCTGAGTCCAGTAAGACGGGTCCTGCTTGAACACTTGTACACGGGCTCTCCCGCCTCCCAGCTGGGTGAACTTGCACCAGGTCCCAGAGCTTCTTGGGGGCACAGGGAAAGTCAATCCAGTCCTCAGCATAGATATGAGCCTCAGAGTCTGTATAGATAAAGTGCCTCGCCCCAGATCTGGCTCCAAATACACAAGACTCCAAATATACAAGAACTGCAATAGTTCTTTGGGCCGGGGACATGGCTCAGGGAGGGGAAATGTGTCCCAACTTTGCACTCAATTTATAAACATGCAGAGACTGGGGGTGGGGAGGTGGGAAGCTGGAGACGCCCTGTGCCCCGGAAGCACAATTCAAAGGAAAGCACCCTGATGCCTGCCTCTCAGCCTCCTCATCTTCCAGCTGCCTGTTTGCAGCTCCAGGGCGGCCCCGCACTCCTTCCTCCCTCGTTATTTAAAGTCGGAGGGGTGTATAAATCAACCAAAATAATTCGTGAGAATCATTAGGCAGCATCTTTTACCGGCAGCATTAAATTAAAAACAGCGCAAAACTGCGGCTTTTTAAAACGCATCAGCTCAGCTTCCTCCCTCCTGCCTGCTGTAATCGAAGGCTGCTGGGATCTAATGAAATGAAATTAGCATCTCCAGTCCCCCTCTGGCTACCTGGTTCGTGAAAATGTGGTGTCATTACAATGGGGAGCTGAAGGCAGAAGGCAGAAACACAATTGGGGGCTCCCCCTTCTCTCCCAGCCCCTATTTCTGTGCTGCCCACCTGCCTGCCCTTCCTTCCAGAGTCCCTGCATGGCTGGGGACGCAGTGGACCAGTTGTTGTTGAGTAGCTTTGATTGTGTCTGACTCTTTTGTGACTCCTTGGACTGTAGCCCGCCAGGCGCCTATGTCCATGGAATTCTCCAGGCAGGAATACTGGAGTGGGTTGCCATGTCCTTCTCCAGGGGATCTTCCCAACCCAGGGATCAAACCCAGGTCTCCTGCATTGGCAGGCGGATTCTTTACCACTGAGTCACCAGGGAAGCCAGAGTGGCCTGCAAGGAGCAAAGTGTTCTGTTCGTTCGTTTTTGTTTCCAGGATCTGTGGAGACACAGGGCAGCTTGGCGGTATTCCCTCGGGCTGGCCCCATCACGGGTCTCCTGCCAAAGGCACAGCAGGACTGTCTCCATCCTAACCCCTCACTCACTGCACCGCCTTGCCACCTGGGTACCTCTAACCTGATATCCCCACTCACATCCCTGAAGGCTCAGTGAGCTGGGCATGCAACCCGGAAACTCGGGGTGGGGGGGAGGGACAGTGTTCTCTATCCCTAAAGGCTGGATAGGGCCCTCCACCCCTCGGTACCACCTGGCTGTTCCCAGGGTCTCTTTGAGGGCCTCTTGGCTGGGGTGCTGCAGCATCTGGGTGGGGAAACGGTCCTGGGCACCGTGGGATGCTTGGCTCCTGCCCACTCAGTGCAAGAAGGGAAACTCTGGGCTTCCCTGGGTGTTCGCCTGCCAACGCAGGAGACACTGGTTTGATTCCTGGTCCAGAAAGATCCCACGTGCCGTGGAGCGACTCAGCCCTGTGCACCACAATTAGTGAGCCTGTGTTCTAGAACCCGGGAGCCGCAACTACTGAGCTTACGAGCGGCAACTCCTGACGCCCGAGCTCTAGGGCGCATGCTCTGCACCAAGAGAAGACACTGCGATGAGAAGCCCGAGCTCCGCAATAGAGAAAAGCCTGCGGGCAGCAACGAAGACCCAGCACAGCCAAAATAAATAAACGCATAAAGTTATATTTAAAAAAGAAAGGAAAATGCCTCCTGGGTCTCAAGCACCCTGCGAGAGGGGTGGGGGTGCTGCCGCCCTGATTGGGAACCACTGACGCCCTCTCCCTCCCCCAGCTGCTCTCGCCTTAATTCCGACTTTTCTAAAACAGAAGCTGATCATTTCAGCCCTTAGAAACATTCACTGACTCCCAGAGTCGTAATTCTGTCTTCCGGTCACTGCACAGAGGGTGTGTCTGCACTGGTGGGGGCGGGGGTGGGTAGAGGGGAGGGGGTGTCTGGGTCTGTGGCGGGTTGGAAAAGAATTTCCAGACACAGAGTATTTCAGAATAGAGTTTATTGGAGTGGGAGACGCTGTTAGAACAGTGGGCCATCTCAAGGGAGAGTCGATGCCTTTCGTGGGCTAGCAGGCAATTTTTATAGCCTCAAGACAAAGAGAATTCCTGCTGGAAGTCTGGCATTGGTTAGGGTGCCACAGGTGGATATTTTATCTAGCATGGAGTCAGGGCAACAGTTGCTATGGGGCTTGGTCAGTTCTGGAGATTTTTGTCCCGTTCCCTTGGTACAGGGCTCCACACCTCTGACCTTGGCATAGGGCTCCGTGGGGAGATGGACGAGGTACCCCTCCTCATAGGGGTTACCCACCTGTGACCTACAGTCTGCCTCCCCTGAGCCAGACTGTCAGCCTCGGGCCTCACCTGGGTGGTGTCCCCACCCACCTGTGATTGACGGAAAATAAAGCGCTGACTCCTTAGCCCGGCACCTCTACGGGCAGCGTTGCAGCTCCTGCCCCAGCCCTTGACTCTGCTCTCCCAGGCCGAGCCCCTGGGGCCGCCCTGCTCTGCTGGTGTCTCTGCCTGACAGATCCTACTTGTGGATTGAGCTCTAGGGAATCATTCCTGCATCATGAGGGGGGTCTGAACATTCTGCCATCACCCAGCATGACCCCATATCCAGAGGAAGAGCTGAGATTCACAGGGAGGTTAAGCTGAGGCAGAGAAGGGAGTGGCTCGTCCCACCCTCGGGGCCTACACTCTGGAAGTTTCTTAACGTCACTCGTTCTCCCTGCAGTTGGTTGTTAGCATCTCCATCACCCATCTGTGCTCTGAGCCCCCGTCTCTGACTGGGGAAGGAGGAGCACCCTGGCAGGTGCAGACAGAGGAGAGGCACTAACGCCCAGGTCAAGCCCCCTGCCGGGCGGAGGGAGTAAGCGAGTCCGTGACCTTTCAGCAGGGCACTTACAAGGCAAGCCAGCCTCGGAGTGGTGGGCTTTGATCAGCCTTCCAGGTTATGTCCTGACTGTTGAAGTCCTTCCCCAGCGCGCGGCTCTTGGCTCAGCCCCCTTCCCGAGCATCCCGCCGTTGCCGCATTCTGCCCCGCCTCCCCTGCTCCCCCCGCATCCCAGACCTGCCCGGAGGCCTGGATCGCAGCCGGCTGCTCAGAGTGCTTGATGACTGTGTTGTTTGCCGGAAGGGCTGTTTGTGAAAGTGTACTCAGTCAAAGCTGTGTTTATAGACACAAGGGCCGGCGTCTTTTTATTGTGCATAATTGCACGCTTCTTAATATATAGGCATTACGAGCCATTTTTCCTCCCCCTGGTGAAGTGGCAGTGGGGGTGGGTATGTGTTTGGGTGGATGGGGGGCTGCCCTCCCCTCCCGGACTCAGAGAGCTCTGAGCCCAGAGCTCCGTGGGTCCAGCTGATGGATGGTGTGACGAGCCCTCTAACGGAGAAAGCTAATTCTTCCGAGGGGACATGGGGAAATGAGACGCAGCAGTGCCCACGTGGAAACGCTGCAGATCAGAATGCTAAGCCCCATGTCTCTCCCTCTTTGTCTTGGAGTCACAGCCTCATATCTGCACGTCTATGCTCCTCCTGGAATGAAAATGGTCCATTCTTCTTGAAAAGCATTTTCAGGATCTTCTCTCTAAACTTCACAAACTTGACGCTAAAGCTTGACATAGTCATTTACTATACCCCTATCGTTAGAGTTTAGATGGCTTTTAAAAAAAATTTTAATTAAAAAAATTTTTTAGCCATGCTGCAGGCATGTGGGATCTAGTTCCCTGACTAGGGATTGAACCTGTGCCCCGTGCATTGGACAAATGGCATCTTAACCACTGGACCACCAGAGAAGTCCCCAGGTGACTTTTTTGATGATGATGATCATAATAGTAATATTGTTATTATTACTATTAATTAAAGCTTTTTGTTTGTATAGTACAACAGTGATGAAGAGCAAGGCCTGCAGGGTCGAACGACCTGGGTTCACATTCAGACTTCACCATGTATTTGAAGAGCTACCTGGTGGCTCAGACAGGAAAGAATCTGCCTGCAATGCAGGGGACCTGGGTTTGGTCTCTGGGTTGGGAAGATCCCTTGGAGAAGATAATGGCTACCCACTGCAGTATTCTTGCCTGGAAAAGATGCTGCTGCTAGGAAAGACTGAAGGCAGGAGGAGAAGGAGATGGCAGAGGATGAGATGGTGGGATGGCGTCACTGACTCAATGGACATGAGTTTGAGCAAATTCCGGGAGATGGTGAAGGACAGGGAAGCCTGGTGTGTTGTGGTCCATGGGGTTGCCAAGAGCTGGACACAACAGCAACCATATATTTATTAGCTGTGTGGCTTTGGGTTTGCCACTTAACCTCTCTGAGTCACAGTCTCTTCATTGACAAAATAGGAACATTAGTTCCTATATCATGCAAAGCACCTGATCCTGTGCCTGGCTCATAGGAAACGCTCTGGAAATGATAATTTGGCTACAACTTTGATTCCCCACATTCACCCAAACACAGGAAATACTTGCCCAATGGTTTAGTGAGTAGTAGTTTACTATTTAAAAATGTTTTTATTTCCACCATCCCATGTGATTCTCTAAACAGCCTGTGGCCTGGGCAGGCCTGCTACCAGCTTCTGTTTCAGGAGTAAGAAAGCCAAGTCTCCATGGATATTCGTATACATGTGGCTGAGTCCCTTCACTTGTCACCTGAAACTACCACAACATTGTTAATCAGCCATACCCCAATACAAAATAAAAAGTTTAAAGTTTGAAAAAAACATATAAAATTGGGTCTCAGACAATTCAGGTGTCTTGTCTGAGCTTGCTGAGGAAGTCGGTCGCAGAGCCCAAACCTTATGCCCTGTTTA